TTATATAATTATAGTTGTCAGTTTTAATTATAGAAATTTTCAGCAAAAACAGGATAGAGATCGATTCCTGGCACGGATATCGTTCACGATGAATGTTACCCTACTTTTTGTTAATTTATTTGCATCAATATCAACAGGATCTCTTGCTATTATAAAGTAAGTTGGTGTAATGACGTCATTTTTAGAGCTCCATGTGACTTAGTACTGTACAGTACTGTACAGAAGGCTAAATACCATATACGATATTCTGGAGCCTAATTTATTGTGCCTATTTCAGTACATTTGTTGATTCATGTGTTGATATTACAACAAGTCTTGTATTGGGACTATGCCTATGGTTAATACATAATACGAATACTCATAAATATCCACGAGGAAGGGAAAGGTCAGTGTGATAAATTTTTTTCTATTTTTATTTGCAAAAGGTTTAACTCATTACGAAGTACCGAAGTTTCAGGTGCCTAAGGGGCATTAGGCTCGGTCAGGGTACCGCGAGGCGAGACAACTAGCTAATAATGACCCAAGAATCCGAGTATAAAAGCACACCTTTTTTCCTAGGTTTCCTGCTGCGAGTAAGGTTGGAGTAGCGTAGAATGTAGATAAGCGCTCCAGACCTTGAGAAAGTTCAATTCAAAACAGCTTGCAGTCGCTCCTAGTTCACCATGATAAAAAATAAAGTGGTCCTCCATGAATGAGAGCGAAAATTCAACAGAATCCATACTTTAACCACACTCTCATTTTGACTCCGAGCTTTTAGGGCAGGTGAAATAAGCGAATTCACGGAATCCTATGTTCAGGAATTTGTTAAGCCGCTTTGAGAGCCCTGGGCACCAGGCAACGTACGCAGTGTATGTATGAAATGAGCTGAAGTATGAGCACGAATTCAGTGCAATCGATGATCCTATTGATCCAGTCTAGTAGCTTGGAAAGACATCAATGATACTAAATTATTGGTTGGCCCTCAAAAAGGTCTTACCTCCGGAGAATGTCCTAAAAAGCGCTCAGGTCGAATATGATCCAGCTTATGAAAGCTGCTCTGTAGGATGTAAACGAGCTTCCATAAAACCGCATTCGATCTGGGAAGTGTTGGCTCTTTTTAAAAACTCCTGCATCATCTATGACGATATGAATGTCTCCTAACTCTTTAGGCTTGAGTTATTGGGTGTGATCCTATGTTCCATAATTCTGGTGGTTTCGAATGCGTTCCTTATACTGGAATCAGTCACAGCAATCATCACAGGGCAGGTTTGAATACTTATTTTTTTCAAACAAACCGTAGTCAGTGATGCGGAGCAATCTTAATTTAATCGAAAAATTCTCGCACATTCTTCTTTTCAAAGTCGAACGACCATGGAGTTCACGTCCACCCATTTCTCTCACCGCTAAATCGTCACATTTCGCAGCTGAAAGTGATGAAACAAAAGAGCTCTCACTTTATCCTCCCTTCTATACTACTGACATACTTTTCTGGGAAACTAAAAACCACCTTGGGTTTTCGCGTGCAAATGTGCTGGGTTAGATAAGTAGTTAGTAGTTGCGCATCTACAGTATGAAGCAACAAGGGGAATACGGTATCAAACAAAGTCTAATTTGAATCGTCGCTTTTTTGTCTGGACTACTGTACTTGCATGGGAAACGAGCTCGCCTTCAAAGCGGTTGTAAGACCACCAGCGCGATCTCCCTTCAGCATAACTTGTATCCCTTTGTAGTTCACTTTAACTGCGTTTTTCACTACGTAGAGATTATTCGCAAGAGTTCAGTTCAGGTAGCTCCTGAAATGAATGCACTGGTTATGACGGCTATGTTGGGTGGATCGGTTTTTAAGACAATTCTCATGGTTGTGTGCTACAGAAGAGGATCTGCATCGTCGAGGGTTAGTTCTACTCCCATACGTTACTCTTTAGTACTTCGATCAGGTCGAATTTTTAGGTTCTGGCCATGGATATGCGTAACGATATTGCGACAACGCTTGTGGCCGTCGTATGCGCTACCGTTGGCTCACTCTATTGGTCGTATGCCGATCCTGTTGGAGGCATACTCGTCTGGTTGGTTTTTTTTGACTTCAAACATACTAATAGTAACTTACTCTGGGTAATCATGGAGAATACTGTTTCTTCACTGGTCTCCAGGCGGATTCAGAACACGATCATCTAAAAAGTAGCGAAGGGTTTTCTGCCTTTTCTTCGGGCAAATTGAGAGGTCTTCTCTTGATCGTTGGGACTTATTAGCATTATGAATAAGGGTTGGCCAGTAACCCTGGCCCACAAACGTCACAGCGACAGTCTTAGCTAGTTATCCTGCGGTGCGCCAGGACAGCCGATACGCTTAACCGAATACCGTCTGAGCAAAGGTCTGGGTAGGCTGGCACGTGAGGTCCTGAGACAAAATAACAACGGGATCCTGGGAAAAAGTCTTGCGAGTTAAAAAATTCCTGTGACGAATGAATATCAAAACAGTGCACCCTATAGAACTGTTTTTCAGTGGCATGATAGTGATTTCATGGTTTCGTTATGCTTTGCGACATATTCCATTACTGGTTGGTGTGCGAGCTAAGGATGACCACTTGGCACGGGTGCTGAAAGTTGTCATCGATCACGACCCACATATACGGTAAGTCACACTCACATAGATAAACTTCTGCAATCACCTAGCCTATTATTCTGCTGATTCTTCTTTCTTTTTTATTCTTGTACTTGGAAATGGAGGTGAGGTAGAGCCAAGTGGCGCATTATAACACGCACGGTCCCGGGATAGAATCCCGACTCGTTAACAGCTCGAGTCGACCATGTGTTTCCCCTCCAGAGTCGGTTGACCGTTATGTTATTGGGTCGTGTGGGAGAGCTGTACATTGGTTGTCATGGTATTTATTATAGGTATATCAGCCATGCGATGGTCTATCACACATCTATGCAAGCTATCGTTGAACTGGAGATTGTCATGGACCAGAATCTTCCTCTGAAGGTAGAGAAGGGCCATGTTGTTCTTGCGATGATGTTTTTTGAGCAAATTTTCCCCAGGGGTCAAGTGGTAATGGTATAGTAGTAGAGAAAGAAGTCATCATACTTTTTCCTGCACTTTCCTTCTCCTGTCCTTCTCATTTTCGGAATTTTTCTGGGCATACATTTTTTCACTCCTTAAAATTTTACTGTAGTTCTTTGAGTCACACAGTTTGTTCGAAAAACTATAAACGGTATCTGAGCAGGATTGAATGACCACTTCTACGATGAAAAATGCCCGAATATGTAAATGAATACAAGTAGGTAAGTGAAGAAACGAATAAATATAATATAATCTGGTTGGCCTAAGGAGCCACCGAAGATGAAGCTCAGATCGCAAGGGTAGCTCCGCCACACTTTAGGACCACCTTATCTTTCAATCGTCTGGCGAGAGCGGTTACTATATACAGTATGTTTCAGACAACTCGTGAGGTTTCACGCTCGTTACGACGAAATCTGCTGAAACTCGATTTTGTGGAATTGGCATTTGTTCATTGTGACTGCGAATTTCCCAGTGATCTGGATGTTGTATAACAATTTCTCTAAAATTTATGTACATACATAAACGATATTGGATTTGACCATGTAAATAATAATTTCTAAAAAATATTTTGTAAAAGTAAAGAATAAGTCGATTGACATGCATATATATAGCTGAGTGGGCGATAGGAAAAGTCCGGTGGATGCCAGAAAAAACTCATTAACTATACTCATTGATCAGCCATTGAGTGTAGTTTTTTCGCGCGGCCTGTCCGGGAGGTGGAATGAGCCTTTTGCTCTTCACTGCGCAGCTCTCAGAGGTGCGGTATGCTAGTATTGAAAAGAAGGAGCGGACAGGAATTGAATAGCAAATATCCCCAAGAAGAGTCGATTAGCCAATCATGAGCGTGATTGTGCTGTTTCCTGACATATCCTTCCCTGATTGGTGAATTGTGGATCGATAATCGATCTTGAGCGACGAGTTTTGTACGTATGGCTTATGTATACTGTATACTCCATGCTTGTTCAAGCCCGTTCTACCCGATTTTCTTTTTTACCGCCTCTACGACAAAGTGAGGGCGCAGTAGCGGCTATTTTATTGAGAGATCCAATTAAATAATGTCGTATTATATTGAAAAGCAAGGAACATTAATTTTTAAAATTTTCAAAAAAAAAAAACTAATTTTGTCTACTTCATGTGGACATCTTCTTACTTTTTTCTGCTTTTTTAGCATTTGTCTTGATTGCCTGACATGATCTCTGTCTTGAGTTTCGACTAACTCAGAAGTCGATTCTACATTCTCATTCTCATTCGATTCTCAAAAAAA